GTGTATAAGAGACAGCCCTCACCAAGCCCACCTTCTGCCACTACTGCACCGACTTCATCTGGGGGCTGGCGGGCTACCAGTGCGAGGGTAAGCGGGGCCGGGGCGGCCGGGCCGGGGCCGGTGCTGCGCGACCTGCTGGGAACGACCGCCGCGTCCTGGGCGAGGTGGGCGGAGGGAAGGACAAACTGAAACATTTCTGGAAATAGTAATCTGAACATCGTCGTAATAATAAATTCCAATTATAAAGGTAATACATTCTACTGAAAAAACCTAAGAATGGTAATAATAAAGATGACAGTAATAATAGTAAAGTCTAACGACAACAATAATGCTAAAAAAAGTCTAAAAACAATAATGCTAAAAATTCTACTGTTAATGAATTATAATAATAGTTTTTAACAACATTAATGCTAAAAATCGAGCATTAATAATAATAAATTTAATAATTCCAACAGCAATAATTCTAATAAACGTCTATCAATAATAATAATAATAGTAATTATTCTGGTAATGATAATAAAATTCTAAGTGCAATAATAAAGAATCGCAGGTGCGGCAGTGCCCAGTCCCGTGTGGTGACACGGGTGTTTGCCGTGGTCCAGCGCTGCTCCTGTCCACGCTGGGATGGACCCTCTGCGAGCCACCAGCCACCCTGGCAGGTGCCCACTGCACTGGTCGGTGGCTCGCAGCACAGCCATCCCGGGGGTGCCCTTATGCTTGGTGGTGTGGAGGAGCTGCAACCTGCGTGGAGTTTGGACTTTTTAAACCTGGGCTGATGCCAGGGATGGAAAGAGGGAGTCCGTAGGTCTGCTTACCAGCAAGCTGACGTTTCTGGAGGCAATGAAATTATGGCTTGTTCTGATGCAGTGAAATCAAGCAGTGTTGTAGGGAAATGGGGGCTTCTCAGTGCGCTGCTTTAAAAGAAACCACCCCAAAAACCAACACTTTGATGTCTTCTTGAGTTTGTGCAGCCCAGGCAGCTTGGGTTGTATCTCCAGAGCAGTCGGGTTGTACAAGAGAGCCTCATTGTTCAGGTGGTATTGAACAAGGCCGTGGGTGTAAAGCCAGTACCCTGCAGTGCTTGAAATAGCTCCTGCCTTTTGTCACCGTTGTGGGTGAAGAGGGTGTGGGATTAAGTTTGGTGAAAGTCATGTTCCTGTGTGGTGCTGGAACACTTTTGTATTTGCTTAAAACTTTGCTGAGAGATGTGTCATTCTGTCTGCATAGCAGAAAGTCGCTGCCTGCCTTAACAGCAGAGAACCCCGAACCTGAGTGAAAATTTCTTATGTTGTGAAATGTGCAAAGCTAGTCTTTTATGTTTTTTTATTATATCACTGACTTAAATAAGGGCATATTATTGGAGTCCCTAAAGTGGGCATTTAGGTGCCAGTTTTTTTACTGGAAGAGCTGAGCGACTTTGGTAATGTTAACAGGTAAGAAAATGTGAAAGGCTTTTGTCCAGGATGTCTCACCTTTTTACCTTTTTTTTTTTTTTTTTTTTTTTTTTTTTTTTTTTTTTTTTTTTTATACCTAAAGGTAGTGCATAACTGTAACTGGAATTTAGGGTCTTTTCCTAGTTTGAAAACTGCACTGAAAGTTTGTGGTGTGGAATTGTTTTTTCTCTTTGTTTTTTCAGGCTGAATTCTATGTAAAGTATCGTTAGCACCACTGTCTAATTGTGTGCTAGCTAATGAGGCTCTTGCAAGCTGTACTGTTATCTTTGAAACCTACATCTGAAACCTCCACCCCAAACTACTCGTGTGTGAGGGGTATTGAGAGAGGTAAAGATATTCTTGGTCTTTAGTAGCTGTAATATTCCCTGGTCAGAGTATGGAGGAAAATCTTGGTCGACCGTCACCTGGCACATCAGTGTCTTCTCCTTTGGGTGACAAACTGATTTTTTTGTTGTTGTTCACTTGTTTTCAACCAGCTATGCTCAGTGTCATGTTTGTCTTTTCCAACGACTTAGTGCTAAACAACAAATTTCAAAAATACCTGATGGGTCATTTGCTGACGGTGGCTGCTTTTGACAGCCATGTGTACACCCTTGTACCCTGTTGAATAGCTTGACAACTCAGTTATTTAATGAATGTTAATATGATTTCTTGAATGATCTTTTAAGTCAATTCCATTTAATAATTACCTCCTTGACTCATTTGCTTTAATTAGTGGAGTTTGATCATTGTTCTTTAAGAAGTAGTAAACCGGTGACCTCTAGGAGTGCCAGGCTGATTAAAAATAAAAAATTAACCCTTAGGAAGTAGTAAAATGGTGACCTCTAGGAGTGCTAGGCTGATTAAAAATAAAAAAATTAACCCATCAGCTTTTAGCGAAGAAAATGTTTGCAGTAAACTGGGAAGACTTGGTAGATAATTGCTATCTACTTTTTCTTCTCCCCAGAGAGAGGCTTGCTGTTGTAATTGCAGCTGAGCTTATGTCGTCATTTGGACTCTTTTTGATAAACCACCTACAGGCTTCAAAATGAAGCTGTCAAGTGTCAGTTTTCTAGGTGAATTTGCAATGGTTGCTGTTTCAAATCCGTGAGCTCAAGTGTTCAGCCTCCTGATGGTGTTTGTGCTGACATTCCCTTAAGTTGGTTTTGAACGAAAGTTTCCAAACCTTGAAGGTAACTGAGTATGCTGATGGTAAGACTCCCATCAGTTAATGAAAGCAGGGTACAACAACAACAAAAAAAGCTCCTGCCTATCAGCCTATCATTATTTTGAGTACTTGTGTGGCCTAAGTGACCTGGATTTGAGTTTTAATTCTGATCACACCTTTGACACACGTAAAATGGCATCTTCTGTATGTGAAGGATCAGGTCTATGGAGGTTTTCAGTAAATTTTTCAACTGCTCAGCAGACTGGCACTTGCCCATGTGGCTTACATGACTGTGTCATAAAAATACAAGAAAGTTTAATGAATTCTTAACACATTTATGGCAGTGCTTAACGCATTTATGCCAAGATAAGTGGTCCTTCCCTTTTCTTCTTGTGGACTCTGAAATTCAAACACATAGAGATGCTCTGATACTCTCCATACAAGGCACAAAAGTGTCCTGGATCTAATCTCTCTGTTTTAAAGTAAGATTCTGCTTCCCTTTCCAGTTGAGGGCCAGTATTGCCATTGTCAGCACTGTACAGGACAGGAGGTACTCCTGGGGAGAATGGCAGCTCTCTTGCTAGACTGGCAAGGTATTTTTGTAAGTGAAAGTTTACAAGGAAGGCAGTAGTCTTCCTATGTGGATTTGGTGTCCAATTGGGTCTGAAGTTGTCACTGTATTAGGATTTTGTGCACATATTTATTGTAATCTCAGTCACCTAGGCTTGCAGCTCAGCTGTGCTTTTTTTTTGTTTTGTTTTCCCCTGCAAATTTGTTTTCCATAAACCCTTTGTAAATTACTCTTTATTTTTTCTTACAACTTTACTCTTTGTAGCTGTCACTTTCTTTGATAAGTGTGTGTGTGTGAAAGAATAAATTATGTTTGGGTTGTAACATGAACAATTAATCTGGTTATTTCAGTTTCTTCAGGCTTGGCATGGAAGAGGAAGTATAAGTGACTGGGTGTCTGTGCATATGTGTGTGCATCTTAATAATGAAAAGTATTAAATATATGAAGTCTGTATAAGAAATAACAAGAGTTCTCACTGGTGGTGTGTGAGTTCTCACTGGTGGTGTGTGAGTTCTCACTGGTGGTGTGTGAGTTCTCACTGGTGGTGGTGTGTGAGTTCTCACTGGTGGTGTGTGAGTTCTCACTGGTGGTGTGTGGAGGATCTGTTTCATACACTAAAAAAATAGCTAGCAGCTATTTTGATTTGGAGTTTGGATTCATTTTAGCCACCAATAAATACATCTCTTTTTACAGTGCTTGTTCTTTTTCCATAAAAGACTTTTAAAAGGTAGGAAGAATTGTGAATCTGTAGATATTGGGGACTACAAATATTTCCAGAGCTATAAATCTTTCTAATGTGAACTCGGTTTGGTTTATTTTAGCCAAAGGTAAAATGTAGGGAATTTAGGTAATAAGCAAGTTGGTTATCAAATTTAGCAGAATTGTTTAGCCAGTTTTAGGTTCTTTATTTATATATCTACCTGTTTCTATTCTTCATTAGAGCATTTATTGGAAGCTACCATCAGGACCTTTTGGTATGTTTTGTGTCTGTTTCTGTTAAGGAAATGTCATTTGAGCAGTTAGGGTATTTGTGGTATGAAGGCACTAAGTCAAATAATCCTTTGGGTAATAGAATCCTTGTTTTCTGTTGTGGGTTGGTTTGGTTGTGGGGTTTTTTTTTTGAGGGTTTTTGGGTTTTAGGCTTTCCATTCTAAGCAGAACCTCTAAACTTATTCCAAGATGCAGAAATCCTTGTTTCTCCTAATCAGGTTTAGATGTTTGCTGACAACACTGCAGTTTTTCCAGAATAAAATGTAAATGGGTTAGTTGGAGTTATGTTTATGCCATGAATCTCTGGCTTAGCAAGACAGCCATAAAGCTGCTGTAATTCATACAGGCATGTCTCAAATATGGGCAAGCCATGTTGTGCTTCATTGATGTAGGAGATGTTCAGCCAGCATCTCTGCAGCAGTCTGGGAATGCATATTCTGGACATGTTTTGAATGGAGCCTACTCCATTTAAGGGGTGTTCTAAATAATTGAAGTCAGATAGGAAAGGTGTGTTTCACTTTAAAGCTGGGAATTACACCAACAGGGAGCTTGTGTCTGTAGGGTTATGGAAATAGTAGCAGGGAATCAAGGAATGAGGAGGAGTCCCCTTGAACTCGCATCCTTTCTAGTTCTGGTTTTGGGACAGGCAGCTGGAACAATCTTGGCCCTGCTGATTTTGTTCAACTCAGTTTTGAAGGAAGTGAATGATGTATGAGATTCCCCAGAAAGTCTTAATGCTTGCAGTCCAAAAGGAAAACAAGTTCTTCCTTCTGATGAGCTTGGCTTGCTTTTAGTGCATTTTGAATTAAAAATAAAAGCTGCAAGAAGGTAAAACCACAGTAAAATCATGCTTCTATCCCACAATCAGCTTGATTACTTTCTGGCTTTACTCTTTAGTGGGTTCCTTGTCAGTGGTGGGGCCTTC